CTGCTTTGCTCCTTAGATGTCTGCGTTTTTGTGGTAGTACACAGATGTATTTCTTGTTTCCCCAAAGCATCTCTGATCTGTTAGATTACTCTTTAATGACACTTCTTTCTTCTTCATAATTCAGATAGCAGCTTCTGTAAAGTGTATAGGGGCATAAAACATGGTTCAAGAAGTGCTTTTGTTCAGTACTCTTGATGAGAACCGGGGTTTTTTGTATTGTGTCTTTTGTCCCTGGGCTCAAAGGCAACCCTGACAGCACCTGCCCTCACTGCTGTAGAAAAGGTGCTTGTTAGCAGCCGAAGAGGTGCAACGTAACCAGCTAGGGGAGGCTGAAATGCAGTGCCCCAGAAGATTTGTGTAGACCCAAACTGCTAGGACCCCAGGAAAGAAACAAGTATTTGGTTACGAGGCCAGAGGAGAGATCGCAAAAGTAACTTTGTGCTTAGAAGCACCATCTAGCAAATCAGGGCAGGGTGAGTGCAGCTCCCTTGTAAACAGCCTTGTAAAACCAGGACTTTGAATCCCTTGATATGAACGCAGTGCCTCTCCTCCCGCTGCTTGTCGATGTCGAGGTGTACACATGGCAGGTGAGAGCCTGTCGAGGCGTGCACATGGTGGGTGAGAGCCCCGACGGGGACCGAGAAGCCTTCCTCACAGCCACGCACAGACGCCACGGACCACAGAATGGGTTTGCTGCTGGCTGAGCTGCAGGAGCTCAGGCCAGGCATCTGAGCTGATGACACCCAAAGCAGAGGATGTTCCTCCCTCTCACTCTTCCAGCCTCGAAACACCCCAGGTGCAGAGTACAGCAGCCCCAGTCAAAATCTGACGCATGCCTCCAGTGCAAACAGAGGAGGAAACACAAACTTCCACTGGTTAAATACCCCCAGGGATGAAATGGCATTGCTCACAGTTGCAAGGTGAAGCCCAAGCCCAAACCTCCAGGCCTGGTTTCCCGGGAGCAGAGGGCTTGCCTCTATCTGCCTCCTAGACAGACGTGCAGCAACACTCCTCCACACTCCAAGTAGCAGCAGACGAGGTGCTCCCCTCCGCAACCCGGACTGAGCCGCGATGGATCAGCTCCAGGCCTGCAACATCAGAGGAAAAGCAGTCTCTGCCTTCCCTGCGTGCTGACACACAAGAGGAGTCGCGGTTGCAGGCAGGGCTGGCTAGGAGGCTGTCTCCGAGGAGGCTTGCCGAGGCTGAGGAGCAGACTTCCCGCACGGATGTACCTCTGGGGAAGAAGTGGCCGGTGTACGGCCGGTGTACCGAGGCCCAGGGACAAACCTTGTGCCAGCAGCTTCCAGTGTCAAACAGCAAAATTTCGCTCCTACAAGACAGAGATGTGGCTTAGGACCTTGACCAGGCTGCATCTAAGTAAGGAAAGGTTATTTTTGATAAATTTCTCCTGGCCAGAGATGAGATTTTCTCTGATTCCAAATTTCTTTTTTAGACCAGAAAGCCAGCAAGAAGCTACAATACAGCAGCAGGGTTATGTACAGTTGGTGGATTCAGTCAAAACTTAGCAGGGATTTCAATTTAGTTTTTATTCCCCTGCAGATCTATGAACACACAAATGGAGGATAGCATGTGAACACGTTACTGCGTGGCTCAACGCGATGGCTGCTGGCCAACCATTCAAGGTGCCCCTGCAGCATTGCAAAAGCAGCAAAGAGAGCTCGTAAAATATTAAACAGAATCAATAAAAACAAGTTGAATGCTATAAACCTACCCCGTTGTATTGCTGTCCTGCAGCTGCAAGGTAGAGTTACAAAGATACCATTTAGCTGAGAAAGGTGGTTATGCTAAAGCTATTTCAGCTCATTAACTTTCGCTGGAGTTTCCCTATTACCCCCAGGGATTACACGGGCGTAGGCATTTTACTGAGCGCTTGCACGTGGGCCTCTGCAAAATTGCACAATCCACTCAATTCTGCCTGTACTCAGGGGCGAGCCAACCAACCTTGGTGTTTTCCCCATCCAGCCTTCCCCACTCTCCCTCCAAAAAAATCGTAGTCAAGACTTCCAAGTCTGCCTTCAGTCCAGAAGCTGCTTTGTTGCAGTAACTGAAAGGAAAACCACAGAGTCATCTGGTGCTTCTCAGGGCAAAATCTTCCCTTTTATACCCTGGCACTGAATTTTTGAGGTGTTGGCTGGCATCAAGGTTTTCCAGAGATAAAGGTGTCACGTACACTGTAACCCCTGTTCAGCAAAATGGTGAAGAGATCCGTATGTGGAAAACACTAGTTTGTATTGCCTAACTTTCACAGAAGTTCCTGTCATCTCAAAAAGCTGTTGTTATTTAACCAGGCTGAAGGTTGCATCAGTGTCTGCAGCACTTCTGCTTAGTAATGCTAGATGGGTGAAATCCAGACACTTAACACCATCTACTTTCTTCAGTCCCACTTTTCTTTTATTCGCTGCATTTTGTCCTTTAATCCTCTCAAAATGCATATCTTCTGTGCGTTAAGAGTAATCTGAGTATCATTCGCAAAACCTGGCCACGGAAACAAAACAAATTTAACCCTCTGGTTCCCCCAGTAATAGCACTCATTTGCTGTGGAGGAATGAGTTACTGAGGGGGTTAGAAACGAAACCCACGTTCCCATCTGCCCCAGCTCACATTAACATGGCCTTTCACTAGTTGCTGGAAAGGCTTTAAGTGTCTAATAGCAATTTCCCAAATAAGCTAAATTAGCCTGAACAAAAAGATACTACCCTGAATACAAAGGTCTATGGAGAGATCGTAGTGAAACTCCGGCTGTAAGGCCAAATTACTGTTGACACATGTGGCATAATTGCCCTGAATTCTGAGGGTTTAGAAAAAGTCAGGCTGAATATTATGGGCAATATTTAAAAACCATGGAGGTGCGTCTTTAGATTCCTGTATTCTCAAGTCATTAAAAACTTGCCTAGATCCTAGAATCAGGAGACACCCACCTAGCACAGGTAACACACCAGCTCTGAAAACCTCTGCAAACAAACAGCAAGATTTTCTCTTTGTTCCTGTTATAAACAAGTCTATTACTTAACAAAAAATTTTGTTTTGCCAGCTGGGACCTTAAAGGGATTGAAAAATCTTTTTAGCAGTCAGACACCATACTTCTGAGCTACAGGATGCAAAGTCCTTCTGAGAATCTGGCTCTGTAATAACATTGTAATATACCCTAGCATGGGAAGACCATCTTGACTATTAAATTTCTGGAGCATAACAAAGCAACGAATAATCCCATCCTTGTTGTGATCATCCCATATTGTATTACTTCCTCCTTTCAAAACGCCCAGTTCAGAGGGTAGCTTATTTAAGCTCCTTCGCCCCAATTCCCAACATCGCCAGAGCAGCCCAGGCAGAGAGGAGGTGAGCAGCAAGAAACAGAAGCAAGCTGGTGCAGCTAGTTGCACCTTGCAACTCAGAGCACGATGCTTACGTACCTTGGAAGACTCACAAGGTAAGAGCTTTTTGCCGTATGGCATTTGTTCCCCAAATTGCGCTGCATCGAGCGTATCATTATATGCATGGGTTTAGCTGTCATTTTGGCTCCTGTTGGTCAAGAGCTGCCTTCCAGCACATAGTGCCTTAAACTCAAGTGCTGACTTTCCAAGTGAGAGCCACCCCAGAGGATGTGGGTTTTGCTCTGACAAGCACCTTTAGGGGTGAGGAAGGCACTGAGCCCACAACATGACCAGGTTGGTGGTGATGTGCCCCAGACAGCGGGAACGAGCTCCCTGAGTTGAGAGTTGTCTGGGAGCAGTCGGAAACCGCCTGTCACTTATCAGAACAAACTACATGTTATTATTGGGACTATCATCACTCAAATAAAGGATGTGCTGCCTTCCCTCAGCACTTCTAACACCTCACCCTGAAAAAAAATGCTGCTTCCAAGTCAGCCAGTTGTACCCTGTGGCCTCTCCTTCCTTGGCCTGCCTCTGGCTTCGCTGGTTCATGGGTGCAACGCAAGTGATTTGTTTGAGTATCGGAGCTGGCAGCCGCGGGACTGGCTCACCTGCAGTTTCTTCCTCTGTAAAGATGCACCAGCTTGAATCAATGGTGAAGCCTGGAGAGGCAGCAGCTCTCCGCAGGGGCTGGGGCATGACTGCTGGTAATTTATATTATTTACCAGCAGGGACATGGCTGTAGAAGTCTTGAGGAGACTGGAGGATGCCCGTGGTACAATTTGCCACTGCTAGTCCCATCCTGGGTGTCCCTCCACCTTGTGTTGCCCAGGGCTCCTGCCTCAAGTCTAGCAACATCTTCAAGCAAGCATTCCCTGTAGCACTGCTGCCTGTCAGCTAAGTAAGCCCTCATGCTGCTTCTGGAAAGAAAGTTGGAGAAAGATGGGAAACTCTGAGAATAAGAGAAATACATCTTTAAGTATAGGTAGGATTTCTGCCATAAGTGAGAGAAACTTTACAGTAGACAGATGCCGCAGCTGTTGCAACTGAAAACAGGCATTTTAAAATCAGACGTGGTCATACATTCTCCAGCAAATCTCAGTATTTCGCCAGTGTCGGCAGCAGTGCCACTTCTTTGCTAATACTTACAGGAAATCTGCTGGCAGGTACCGATACAGTAATTACACAGCTGGAAGAGCCCCCCTGTTATTTGCTTTGATTTCACGGTAAGGATTCCTCAGAAAAACTACAAAAGCTGTAAAAAAATAAAGGATGAAATTCTTCTTGTGCAAAGGGAGTAGCTTGAAGGCAGACCTCTGACAGCAGCGCGGACTGCTGCCACCCTGCTACCCAGGGCAAGGAGCTCCCTCAGGGGGAAACTAACGGGGTAGGAGGCAGAAAGGGAGAAGTGAATCACCAAACATCCTTTTCTGTCTTTTCAGACCTGAGACCAGACGTGGGTTTTAAAGGCCCCACCTGCGCAGCAGCAAACTCCTGCTTTTGCTAAGAGTGCCAGTAAAGAGCCATCAAACGCAAAACAGAGGTGCAGCACTCCCAGCTGGAAGGGAAAACTCCCAGGCTATCTAGCCCTTCACCCTGCCATCTGCCATGGCCACAAAAGCCACCGGCTCGAAGAAATATCTCCAGCTGCTCCTTTTCCAGGTTGCTTTTCTAGGGTCTGTCTTCTGCGGGAACGTGTTGGTCTGGCCAACGGAAGGCAGCCACTGGCTGAACGTGAAGATAGTTATACAGGAGCTCATCCGCCGCGGGCACAGCGTTACCGTCCTGGTATCCAATGCTTCCCTCTTCATTAAACCCAGGGCTGAGGCCTCGGAGAAGTTTGAGGTCTATAACGTGCCCTTCAAGAATGACACTGTCGAGAACCTGATCGAGGATGTAGTGGCTCTGTGGCTGAATAACAGGCCGACCACCTTGACCTTCTGGCAGTTCTACAAGGAGCTGGGAAAACTGTCCGAAAACTGGCACCAGATGAACAGGATAATGTGCGACGCGGTGCTGACCAACCAAGAGCTGATGGCCCACCTGCAGAGGTCTAGCTATGACCTGCTGCTGTCAGACCCGGTGACCCTCTGCGGGGACCTCCTGGCTCTCAAGCTGTCTGTCCCCTTCATCTACTCGCTGCGCTTCTCCCCGGCCTCCACCGTGGAGAGGCACTGTGGCAAGATCCCAGCCCCACCATCCTACACGCCCGCAGCCCTGTCCGAGCTCACCGACTGCATGTCCTTCAGTGAGAGAATAAAAAACATCTTGTCTTACCACCTGCAAGACTACGTTTTCCAGAGCTACTGGGGAGAATGGGATATCTACTACAGCAAGGTCTTAGGTAAGCCTTCTGCTACTTCACCTCTCATCACACAGCCTCCCGCCTTACGACCTGCAGAGCTAGGAACCTGGCAGGGTGGCAAAGGCAAGGTCTGAGAGAGGTCAGCAAGAAGTTTGTCATTATGTCCCTGTATGGAAAAGGGAATAAGCCTCCGGGGTCTGTCAGTTGGACTCATTCCCCCGTCAGGGTGCTGTGCTGCTATGCCATCGCATCGAGACAGGTATCGGTGGTCATCCCAACCCATGGATCTGACTTTTGCCGTAAGCATTTTTAACATGCAGGTTGAAACGACTTCCACACCATGTAGGGCCCTCAGCAAGGGAGCTCAGCTTACACATCTGCCCCTCCAATGCCTGCTTGCACAGCAAGCAGCCAGGAACAGAGCTGTTTTCCTAATCCAGTGTATCGTAACGAGGGGGGAGCTGGTGAATCACGAGCCAACCCTGCCACCCTCAGTGGCCATACTGAAATGGATTGTGGCTTTGTAATAGGGACTTCACTGACATCACTGGTCATATAAAACCAATCCTCTCTGCACAAAACAAGTTTTCTTTAAAACACACCCTCCACCCACAAGCAAACAGTGAAAGCAACAAGTCTTCCTATGCAGGCTTTTTTTCTGGACTGTTTTGAGGGTATATGTAGAAAAATATGTTTCTTTAAGTATTAATCACATAGGAGCAACATGCCATTTTTACTAACCTCACACTGAGCTCATGAAAAAGAGCACTTGCAAATCTCTCAGGGTTCAATTGCCTGCAAACACGTGCATGCTGCAGCACCCCACAAGCACACCAAGCTGTTGGCACGTGCACAGCAGATGAGGTATCTCAGCTTGGCTTCTCACAGCCCAGCTGCTTCCATCACCCTCATTTTCACCGCGGAAAGGACGCTCTAGGCAGCACGGAAGCTGTAGCAGGAATCCTGCACATCAGCATTAGGAAAACATTGCGTAACAGAGCTGGGCAGAAGCCCGGTAGGGATGATTTTTAGCACAGCGAACGGAACTTAGATTATTTCTTAACTGCACGTCAGAAGGGTGACCACCCTTCACCCAGAAGAATCTCCCGGCGCGGCTCCAGAGGAACCACATCTTCCAGCTTCAGCGAGCTGTTTGCCGCCAGATGGTGCCAGCTGGTCCCAGTCACCCTCTTCTCACAGGAAAACTGGCCATTATCCAGGACAGGATTTCACGCCCGCTCCCTTGGCTCCCCGCCCTCCGGCGCCAGGCGTGTCATGCAGGCCCAGCCCAGCCTGGAACTGCTGGGGCTTCCGGTGAAGCAAGGCCACCGGGACATTGCCACACAGGGCAGGCCATGGCTGGGAGAGAGGTGGCCGTGCTGTGGCTGCTGGCCGTGTTGGGCTGGGGGTCTGGGGGGAAGGTGTTGGTCTGGCCGGCGGACAACAGCCACTGGCTGAACGTGGAGTACATACTTCAGGAGCTTGTGGTCCGGGGCCACGAGGTGACTGTGCTGCTGCCTTCATGCTTCCTCATCCTCGACTCCATAAAGCCCTCAGCCTTCCGGATCGAAGTGTTTGAGGTGCCGATCACCAAAAAGGAGATGGCTGCCTTACTGGAAGAAGCTTTCTATTTTTGGTTTTACGAGGAGAGCGTGCTACCTGTCTGGGAAAGTCTTTACAAGCTGGCTCAAATGCTGCGCAAGCTGGTGAACACAACCAAAATGATTTGTGATGAAGTCCTGAAGAATGAGGTACTGCTGGAGAGACTGAGGGCATCCACTTTTGATGTCCTCTTGATAGACCCGCTGGCACCCGGTGGGGAGCTGCTTGCTGAGAAGCTGGGTATCCCCTTCGTGTACACCATCCGGTTCTCCATTGGCAACACGGTGGAGCGGCTCTGTGGGGCACTCCCAGCACCTCCTTCCTACGTACCAGCCACCCTAAGCCGTCTAACAGATAGGATGTCCTTCCTGGAAAGGCTAAAAAACGTCTTCTTCTACGCTGTGCAGGATATCGTATATCATTACCTTCTCTGGGGAAGCTGGGGTCATTACTACAGTGATGTTTTAGGTAAGGCTGCTCTTACTTCCAGGAATTACATCTGCTGTACACACAAGAGTAAATACCCAGAGCTTAGAGGTTAAGGCACAAATAAGGAGCAAGACAGCCCTGAACTCACTCTCCTTCCTCAAAAAGTCCTGTCCTGTGTCAAGTCAAACAATCCCGGCAAGTACAGATGTTACCTGTTAATCCTGACCTGCTACACTAGTACAGCTAAGTCTGTACAGGTACTTCTAGGATAGGTAAAAGAGTGCTCAAGCCACTTGAAACAGAGCTCATCAGTCATATTCACAGATGAATCATGACAAACACTAAGAACAGCAAAATAATACTATATGCCCACCAAACACTACTACTGAATTAAACCTTTTAAAGTAGAAATAAAAAACAATTTTGGAAAGCTACACAACAATACTACCTTTTTTCCCCTAGCACCCTTCTTGCTTGCTAACTTATCTCGAGATGACAGATAATGGCCTCCTCCGGTCTTTTGGAAGAGTTTGGAAGAGCAGCTGAGCCCCAGTTTGCAGTGACAAAGGGCCCTCAGCAGAGACAGGGTTCTTTGCGTGTCTGAAAGTGTCTAAAAGAAATATTAGAAGATAGTTGTATATATTTATAAGGTTTTTTTCTTTTTCACATAGTAGTTGTGTAATTATTTTCACACTTCTGGTCTGACTGGTTATTGCAGTGCTTAAAAGGAAACAGGGCAAACATACATGCATTGTTGGTGGGCAGATAAAACAGATATTATTTCAATATGAGACCTTTTTTTTTATATTTCACTAGTAGGGTGTGATTCTGCTCAGAGAGCCAAGTTGTTATCATACTACTAGATTACCTAGCTGTGTTTTTACTTGTGTCGCTTGTCGTGTTTGACAGAGACTAGAAAATCTTGTGCTGGCAGAAGCCTGGTTTGATGATCTGTTGCGTAAGCCTCAGAGCTGCTTGGATCTTGTATTGTCTATTTATTGTTAAATGTGGGCTTTAGCATTTAAGGCTCCAGTGCAATATCTGTTTTGTTAGCTGTGTTAGCTTAGCTGTTCTCTGTCTTGAGTGTGATATGCGTTGATTTGGAGCGTATCCAGTCCTGAAGGAGGTGAAAGTAAGCAGGAGGCACCTCGCAGAAATGAGGCAATGTCTCAGTTCCTGCAGCGTATGCATCCACCTTCTCTATCTCCTCGGAAAATCTTCTTCAGGGTTCCTGTTATTCTGGCTGCTTTCCTAGAGCTACCTAAAGGCAAGTGATGAGGTTGAAGCATCGTGAAAGACTGCTTGCTCCACTGTGAAGTCTACTGAGGGCAGCTCATGTGGTGGTGCTGAGCTCCTGGAGGAGTGCTCAGGCCCTGTTTAGACTCTGTCTCAGCCTCATTCGCCCTCTGCTCAGGAGAGAGCCAGCTGCCTCTTCTTTTCCTTGAACACATCAGTAGCACCGAGCATCTCCACTACACCTGCAGGATACAGTCAAGATGAGAAGTCAGGTCTCTTGTCTTGACAGTACCTGTCCTGGACTATATGATACGGATACACTGATGCCAGTTTGCAGCATCTTCCCAAGAGAAGGCACAGAAGAGCAGCGTGAGAAAAACCTGTGCTCCTCATCTCCTCCTATTTCTCTGCTAGAGTGGCTTGATACTGGAGTCATCTCTGCCAGGACAGTGTCCTTCCAGCAGCAGTGTTGTGTGTCCACAGCATCTGATCATAGAGAGGACAAAACTAGAGCACCCTGTGGGCTAGTTGTGAATCACTGCAGGGCATTTTGCACCCAGTAAATGAGGAGATACAAATTATAACCAGTTTCACAGGTAGGTTGGTTCCTCTAGGGCAAAGAAGCAAATCTAGGCCATAGTCAGGTGATAAGATGGGGTTCTTCTTGTAGCTGTCAATAAAGTCCTAGGGGCTGCTCATGCGCTTTCCCTAGCTTGAGCTCCTGCTTTGTACACGCATGTGTGTCTTCGCCTTGAAGATCTGGTATGAGTGTATACTGACTTTGGCTGGAATAGAATTAGTTTTCTTCATAGTAGCTTGCAGGGGGCTATGTTTTGGATTTGTGACGAGACCAGTGTTGATAATACAGGGATGTATTATCAGTCCAGTTGTTGCTGAGCAGTGTTTACACAGCATCAAGGCTTTTTCTGCTTCTCACGCTGCTCCTCCCAGCGAGCGGGCTGGCGGTGCACGAGAAGTTGGGAGGGGACACAGCTGGGACAGCTGGCCCCAGCTTAGCAAGGGGACATCCCACACCGGGCGATGTTGTGCTCAGCAAAAACAGCTGGGAAGGGGGAAGTTTGCCAGGGCTGCTGTTGCTCAAGGGACTGGCTGGGCGTTGGTTGGCTGGTGGTGAGCAATTGTTCTTTTTGCATTACTCGTTTCACTCGTTTGTGTTTGGTTTTTGCTTATTAAGTTGTTACTATCTCAAGCCATGAGTTTTCTAACTTTTGCCCTTCCAATTCTTTTGCCCTCCAACTGTGGGGGAGTGAGAGGCTTTGTGGTGTTTAGCTGCCCATAAAGCTTAAACCACAATGCAGGGAGAGGGCTTCTGGTCCTACCACATGCTGCAAAATGCACTTTGTGGTGAGCAGAAACAGGAGTTGCTGTCATTTCGAGCTCAGCTGTGGCTCTGCAGGAGACTCCAGAACAGGTTTTGCTGCTTGCCCAGTCCTCCTCTGAGTGTTGTTTTGTGTTCTGACTTTCACTTTTGCTGAGCTTGGCACCAAGCAGACCTCACTTTTTTTGCCTGGCTGTAAAGTGTTTGCACACTGGAGCAGTGAACTGCTTCCAGCTCAGTCAGACCAGAGTTGTACAGGGACTGCTGAGGTGATGGGTCCAAGGTGCCCCTTGCTGCTTTGGGCCTATGCATGCTGCTGGAGTGCTGGCTTTTGTGGGAAGGTGGTGGTCTGGCCCACCGATGCAAGTCACTGGATCAATGTGAAAGTGCTGCTGGAAGAACTTGTTCTCCGGGGTCATGAAGTGACTGTGTTGGTGGCCTCAAGCAATCTGCTCATAGACTACCGAGACACCTCCTCTCGCTTCACCTTTGAGGTCCTTCAAGTCCCCTTTACCCAGGAGACCCTGGATGCTCTCATGGAGGACTTCCTCAATTTCTGGATGAATGAGGTCTCTAATGTCTTCCCCTGGGACATCATGTGGAGAATGAAGAAGGACATGGAGGACTTTACCGACATATCGAAACAGAGCTGTGACACCTTGGTGATGGACCCTCAGCTGATAGCAAAGCTGCGGCAGGCCAAATTCGATGTTCTGATCGCTGACCCCCTGTCTATAGGTGGTGAGCTCGTAGCAGAAATCCTAGCAATCCCTTTTGTCTACAGCTTCCGCTTCTCTGATGGGAATGTGGTGGAGCGGCTGTGCGGTGGGCTCCCATCCCCACCTTCTTACGTGCCTGCTAGCGTAACGGGGCTGACAGACCAGATGTCCTTTGTGCAAAGACTCCAGAACTTCCTGTTTTACTTTTACATGGATTTATTTTTCTCAAAGTTGTGGCGAGATGAATGGGATGAGTACTACAGTAATGTCTTAGGTAAGACGGCTGTTGAGTAGTTTCTCCTCTTGCATAGGCTGTGCTTTTTGAATGTTTAGGGAGCTCGATGCTGTTGTCTCAAAATACTCTTT